GTACGACTCCATCAACCCCGTTCACTTGAACGCTTCCGCTTAGCGATCTACAAGGGTATGTAGATGCACTCTCTTTCTACTCGTTGCTGGTCTCTCCATAGATAGATCTTGGTGACACGTAGGAAAATTTTGAATTTCTGCTACGTTCCCCAACAGATCATGTGCCCCTTCTTCTCTCCTCTGTTGATGAGCGTCCGCCGGTCACCCCTCGATTCCGGTTTGAGACCTTCTGGCTCTCCCACGCCGGGTTTATCGATGCCGTAGGCGCTCGGTGGATTGAGGCTCGCGCCCATCCCCACCCCCGCCCCCCTTCGGCCATTGACTCGTGGCACTTCTGTGCAAAACATGGTCGGCAGTTCATGAAGGGATGGGGTGCTAATCTGGGTTGCGACCTACGGGAGCGCAAGAAGGCGTTGTTATCCGCGATCTAGGCCCTTGACTTGCATGCTGACGCGGTGGGTTTTTCTCCAGACAAGTGGCTCTCCCGTTATGACCTGGAAGACCAGCTCTCCGTGATCTACACCGATGAGGAGGCTTATTGGCGCCTCCGTGGTGCCCAGAAATGGGTCTTGAAAGGCGACGTGAATACGGCATACTTCCAGGCCATCGCCAACGGTCGCTGTAGACGCAACACCATCCCTCTCTTGTGGGATGGTGAGACTCTCCTTCAAGACCCCCGCGACATCCGGTCCCACGTCGACGGTTTCTATAGATCCTTATTCTCTGCCGCCCTAGAAGCGTCATCTCTCTCGCCCCCGATTGCTCGTCTGAGTCCCAGTTGGTGTCTGTCTCGGAGAACGCAGCCCTTACGGCCCCCTTCTCCGAGCAAGAGGTCTGGGATGCCATCAAGGGCATGAACCAATCCTCAGCACCGGGACCGGATGGCCTCCCGGTTAAATTTTTCCAGACCTTCTGGAACGTGATTAAACCGGAAGTCATGGCCATCTTCGACGAGTTCTACGTTGGTTCCATCGATCTCGGGCGTCTCAACTACGGGATCATCTCTCTCATCCCCAAGGTCCCTGGGGCGTCCGACATATGCCAGTTTCCCCCGATCACGGTTATTAATGTGATCTTCCGGATCCTGGCCAAAGGGTATGCTAATAGGGTGACCCTGCTGGCTGACCGTGTGACTCACCCCAACCAGTCGGCCTTCATTAAGGGCCGTTACATCCTGGATGGGGTCCTTGTCCTTCATGAAGTCCTTCATGAGGTACGCGTCAAATGCCTCAAGGTGGTTTTTCTGAAGATTGACTTCCACAAGGCCTACGATACGGTTAGATGGCCCTTCCTCCGGGAGGTCCTTCTTCGGAAGGGCTTCGACGACCGGTGGATCACTAGAGTCATGCAGATGGTCTCTTGCAGTCGCACGACCGTGAACATCAATGGTGAGATTGGCCCTTTCTTCCCCACCCTTTGTGGGGTTCGACAAGGCGACCCCTTCTCCCCGTTCTTGTTTAATATGGTCGTGGACACGCTTGCCTCCACTCTGGATAAGGCGAAAGCCGCTGGCCATATTCGTGGAATTACTCCCCACCTTGCCGGTGGCTCCGGGATCTCCATCCTCCAGTATGCTGACGACACTATCATCATGGTCGAAGGCTCGGAGACGGACATCTACAACCTCAAGTTCCTCCTTCTCTGCTTCCAACAGATGTCGGGCCTCAAGATCAACTTTGACAAGAGTGATGTTATGGTGACGGGTTACTCCCCCTCAGAGTCTTTGGCCATTGCCAATAGACTTAATTACCGTATGGGCTCCTTCCCCACAACCTACCTGGGAACGCCCATTAGTGACTCCCGGCTCACCGTCGCGGACTTGCGCCCCTCTGTGGCCAAGCTCCAAACACGCGTCGAGCCCTGGCAGGGGAGGTGGCTGTCCAAGGCGGCCCGGACTATTCTCATCAACTCCTCCCTCTCCAGCCTTCTCTTGTTTCTCATGAGCTTCTACAGTCTCCATGAGACCCTTCACAAGGAGATCGCCAAGGTCCAGTCCCGCTTTTACTGGGCGGGCGACAATGACAAGCAGAAGTACCATATGGTCAGCTGGCCTGACATCTGCAAGCCCAGGGAGCAAGGTGGCTTGGGCATCATGCACTCTAAGCGGATGAATATCGCCCTTCTCTCCCGCTGGCTTTGGCGCATCTCGCAAGGTCACGGTGGCCTCTGGCTTGACATCATCCGGAACAAATATTTGCGCGGACAGCCCCTCGCCTTCTGCTAGAAGTCTGGCGGATCTCAGTTCTGGCAGTCGATTGTTCAGCTTCTCCCAGTCCTCCGTATCGGGACCTCCATCTCGGTGGGATCCGGAGTATCGACGCTGTTTTTGTTTGATCGCTGGGCCGGGGACACTCCCTTTGCGGCTCGCTTTCCCGGCCTCTTCTCTATCTCCGTCGATCCCGTGATTTCTGTTGATAGGGCCCTTCTTGACTTCGCCTTGCTTTCCGGCGGCCTTTTGGTCCCTTGGAATCCGCCGCCTGGCGTGAGTTGCTTGACTGTGTTGCTCTCCACGAGCCTATGATGGATGGTGGCCCTGACCTGGTGCGCTGGCGCCTGGAGCCTTCGGGTCAATTCTCCACCAAGTCACTATACCTGGCCATCGCCCCTTCCTCCGCCCCCTCCCCCTATCGATGGTGTGGTCCATCCGCCTGCCCCTGAAAATCCACATCTTCATGTGGCAATGGATTCGCTGCCGGGTCCCGTCCGGGGTGGAGGTGCGCAAGCGAAATGGCCCGGGTACTGGCATCTGCCCGCTCTGTGGGGTTCCCGAAGACTCGAACCACATTTTCTTCTCCTGCGTTTCCGCCCAGTTCCTCTGGAGCTGTTTTCGCGAAGCGGTCGGTGGAGATTGGTGTCACACCAACTTCTCGGACTTATTTGCCGAACTCCAGATGTCCCCCGTGACTTCTCGCCACATTAGGTGGCTTGAGATTGGGGTCCTCGCCTGGACCCTCTGGACTGTCCGCAATAAGCTAGTGATTCAGCGCACTCCTCTTCGTCGGGCTACTGGCTCTCTTTTCAAACTCTCGGATTTCTTGCAGCTTTGGCGGCCGCTTAGCCGCCCCCTGGACCACGACGCCATCTCAGCCTTCATTGCCGACCTCCGATCGATGGCCGTCCGCCTGTCGCCGCCGCCACCGCCGCCACAGCCGGAGCCAGACTAGGCGATATCTTCGTCCGGCATGTTCTGTCTTTTTTTCTTTTTTGGGCTTGTTGAGCTGTGCGCTCAGCAGAATCTATGTACTTTGTTGTGAGATTTGGGTGGGTGTGTGTGGACTTGATTCTGTATGTGTGCTCTTTGACGGTTTGCTTTATTTATAAAACGGGGCGAAAGCCTTTTTGGGTAATGGATGGAGTAATTGGCTGGGAGGCCTGCGTAGGAGCAAGAACGTCTTAGAATTCGCGCATGGGATTCGATGTGACTGATGGCGTTCACTCGGAAACGCTAGAATCTGGCACTAGATTTTTAACATTTTCTTCTTTGTTTTTCTATGAGGGGTGATTAATCTGTTTTTAGGGCCTTTAGTTTTGACCGTGCGCTTTGCATCGAACGGCGCAAACACGTTTGGGGACCAAAGGAAAAGGCGCAGCGTGCCCACGTTTGTCCGGGTTGCCCGATTGACGCTGTTGGCTGCGGCCGCACATCGGTGAGCGGCACAGCGGCAGCCTCGAAAAAGCCAGAAAATCCATGGAGATGGACCTGGAAGCCCAAGCTCCCATGACGCCGCGCCCGTAACCTCTCCGCTTCGGAAGCTCGTGGAGCCAGAGGGGGGCGGAGAAGCGGCGGAGACTAGGTCGTCGTACCTCTCCCCCTCCTCCTCCTCGCCTCCCCTCCCTGAAGCGCGAACTGTTGCGAAGCCCGCCATCGGGCATCGGGAGCTGAGCTCCAGTCCAG